AATTATTACAGTAATAATTTATTTTCATTCCACTGTTTTCATCAATACTGAAATAAATATCACTGAATTCTTATCTAGAGATAACCATAACCTTCATTATGCAAACCAACAAACAGCAGGACCTAGAAGGAAACTGAAGAAATGACCTAGGAAGACAAACACCAATCACAGAAGCTATGTTGTCAGAAAACAGACATCCTGCAGAATCATTTCAACCTCTGTCCCTTTAACACTAATGGCAGCCTTTACCACCTTAATCAGCAATATGATTATGGATGGATTTCAATGTTCCGTAATACTTTCATGATTTTAGGCAGAATTTTATAGACTCAAAATGGCAAAACAGCAGCTGCACATTATACAACCATGCAGTGACTATAAGATGTAAACAAACTAGAACTGATGCAAAGCTCATTGTTTTTAGAATAAAAGTCCCAAGCTTGTATGAGGGAGAGTAACTACACCGGTCACAGATGGAAGTAAAACAGTTGTAATGGACATGATAGGTTTTCTATGTGTATCACTGGGCAGCAACACAGTCCAGCTTATTCAGTGGATAGTTTCAGTAGCCAATATGGTGACCATGCTTGAGGAGTACATACCGAAGAGCAGAATTCTGTTGCCCATTTTTTGTGGGAAAAAGGACTCAAATGAAAAGGATATTCATAAAGAAATGTTTCCTGCTTACAGTGGGAAATGTTTGTCATGTAAAGAAGTTCACAACTGGGTTCAGAAATTCTATCAACAACATTAAAAAATCACAGGTGATGAAACTGAGGTGTGGAATTGGCTAAGCCAACAGTCAAAACACTTCTATGCTGTGGGTTTTTATGCACTGGTGAAGAGATGGGACAAGTGTATGAATGTTGGTAAAGGATATGTTGAGAGATAAACGTCTTTTCCAGGTTCGAATACCACATGGTTTAAATTTTATATTCATTTATGAGCTATTTACTGACTCTCCCTCATACAATTTATAAGACTGTGTTCAGTATAGGCAACCAAACCCAAACTGTCATAAAAAGAACCCACAATAACTGAAAGTGTGAGATTCATCTGAATAGAGGACAATGTTTGTGGGTTCCTAATATGTAACAGTGTGGTGATTAATGCAATCCAAATATCAGAACCATAAATGTATGGCAAGGGCAACCTCCTTCACACTTAGAAAAGCTGTGGGTACATGAAGGACTAAAAATGTAGAAATGAAGACCACTCAATAACAGAAGGTTACTACAGACATATGCTTTACTTACTGATGGCGTCAATATCTCAGACTGTGCCAAATGACAGGCTGATTAGTAAATAATGAAGTGCAAAGGATATGGAAAGCAATGGTCACGGCCTAATTTCAGATACTACACTGCCATTTTCCTGGAGTGAGGAAAACCATGAAAACCTTAGCATGGACATTCTTCAAGGGTGACATTTATGGCATTCACTGTACTTCTGTTTTTTTCTAACCTCGTTATTTAACAATGCCATCAGAGACTACAGTGTCAATGAGAGGATGGGTAATAAATTTGGGGCAGCTGGTGGAATGAGACTTGGGGCGGGAAACCAAAGTTCTTGAAGAAAATCCACAGCGTGACTTCATCCACCACAAATACCATGTGACCTGACCTGGGATGAAATTCTAACCGCCATGGTGGAAAGCTAGGAACTAATTCTTTGAGCTACAATACAGCCACTACTATAACTAGCATTAAATCATTCAATAATTTAAAAGTAGGTTCAGGATCGTAGTCAACCAAACTTTATGTCATAAATTCTGATGGTATGCAGATCTGTTTTGATAAAACTGTTCATGCTTTATACAATCTACAATGAAAATGTGATTTGGTGGCCACTCTTTTCTAGTCCCAGCCAAAACCCATTATGAACAATGTGTTGTTTCCCATATTCTGTGACTTTTAAATTATCAAATAATGAAAATTTAATATAAGAATTCAGTTGAATACGACTGACTGAAATAACATTCAATATACACATATTCTCTCTGCTGGAAGTTGTTCTTGCATGGCCACTCTGTTTATTTCATGTAAACACTTATTCCAGAGATGAATATATTATTCTTATGTAATTGTATTTATGTAGAAATGATTTGACTACTTGTGTAAACACAGTAGTGTAGTTGGTTCAGGCACTATGGTACAAGCCTAAAGGTCGTGGGTTCAATTCCCAATGAAGTCAATGGATATTTCATTTGACCTAATCCTTCTAGCCACCCTATGGCCCCTGGATCAACTGTCTCTCACAGAACTGAGTACCAGGGAGTCCTCACTGGGGCACAAGACCATCAGTATATAAAGGCTGTCAACCTCACTGCCATCTGTGAGCTGAATGCCTAGAAAACGTGGGAGCCTTGACATCCCACAATCATATGGCCTTCCACAGCTTGTTTACATGGATAAGTAATAGCAGACCATACATATGTACAACAAAAGTATTCTGAATAATTTTGCATGAATGCCATTTCATGAAAACCTGTATTTAGTGTAATAAAAATTTTGCTATAGATTCATTAAATAGGAGTTTAACTGTACCAATTTTATATTGAATCTTTCTGATATAAAGCTGAACACAAAGATTTAAAGAGTGTACTTTGAAACGATATGACTTGTCATAAGACTACTGGCAACTTGAACAACAACTTTCGACTCCATATTCATGTAAATTACAGCTTTCAGTATTCAATTAAAATGAGTTAACAAATTACATAATAAAAGGTTTCATTCCATAATATCCATGTTTTATAACAAAACCACAACGAACAGGAACCAACCTTCATCAAGTCAGGTCTCAGCTGAAATACATGGTTGTCTCCAATCCTTTACTGTGGTTAAGTGCTCTGTTCTCCTGCCTTACCTTACACTGAATGACGCAACATGTTACTACTATGTGCCTACTGATAATACAACTGTCATAACGTGTGCATTTGTAAAATTGCTACATAACCCCAAAATCAATTTAACTGAAAATATAAAAAATGACACAGCACAGACAGTAACTGGTTTACATAAGTTGTGCTATTTCACTCCCTGGGTAAAGGAAATATTTGGGTTTGAGTAATACAGTACTAATTTAGCTGTCAATAGGCCGCACCATAGCTCAAGAGGTTAGTCACTGGCTTCCCAGTGCATTAATGCATCAGGATGCTGAAATATAACATTAGCTGTCGAAGGCCAATGTATACCAAGTCACATGCACAATTTTCTGTGAAGAGTACAATACATAACAATGCAACAAAAAGGATACAAGTAGCATAAGTTCTGTATTATCAGTCAGTACTTCTGACAAGTGAACTACTATTACCTACATTTCATTCTTCTCAACCAGGAACAAGCAGATTTTTCTTAATATGAAAAGATATCACTGAATCATAATAAATTTAAATTCTTTTGGCATAGATGGATGAGTAAATGTAAAACACAAGGGGAGAATACCTGTACATTGCAAGGATATTATTTAAATTAATTTAATTCATTANTCTGGCGAAAACAAGAAAACAGTTCCCCCCTTTTTACTGTCCTGATATTTTTATTTGGACTACAATATATACCTGGCTCCCTCATCCACTAACTTCAAGGCAGCTTTTAAACTGTGTGACAAAAAGGAAATGGATGAACTTGTCAAGTTTTAATGTTAGAATACCAATATACATGAAAGGTTTAAATGAATGGCTTCAGAACTACACATTCCATTTAGTATGATATTCACACCATACTTAAAATCATATTAGTGAAATACTGCAATAAAACTGAGGTGGTGTCCTAAATAATTGTATATGACTATCATTTCCCTGTTCCATAGCTGATCATAATTTAGAAAACATACAAGTTTTGTCATTGGCTGCTATGACTACACTGCATCACTGAACTCCCTAAAGTAAAAAAAGTAAAGGTATCCCTGTAACAGGACGTGGAGGCCCATAGGGTTGTGAGATGTTGAGGTTCCCACATTTTCTAGACAATCGGCTCATAGATGGTGGTGAGGTTGTCAGCCTTACACACTGGCCGCCCTTTACCCCCAAAGAATATTCCTGGTACTCATTTCTGTTAGAGGCTGAGTCGACCCCAGGGCCACACTGCAGCTGGAAGGATTAAGGAAATTGAAAAAATCTACCTCACCAGGATTCGATCCCGTGACCTTCCAGCTTGTAGATAACTCTCAAAGGTTTAACAAACTTAGATCAGACCAATCACAGAGACACAGTAACAAAGTGTTGTTGTTCCATTATCCAGGAGAATGGAAGCTCCAATTCTACATTTACTGTAGTGAAATATTTGAAAATTTAATCCTTGAAATTCATGTTTCCCAACATAATACCAGATTCAGGCCTGTGATCTAGATTCAACCAACAACCTCCCCACCACAATAAAAAAATTATCCAGTAACTTTGTGTTTTAAAAACTTCATATAAGTATGTGCAACAAATTTTCTTAATATGCATACAGGTTACCTACTTTGTGCCTACTGTCTAAATAAGAGGCTTTTAGAATTAAATTGTCTATTACTTCCTCCTTAAAAATAAATGCAATTTCCCACCCTTGCTGTTTAACCATCACTGTTTTCACATTCTGAAGGTATTATAAAATTATTACAGACCAATTTTAGTGGAGACATGTAGGCATATTTTTCTTTCCTATATTGGTTTCTCAAATTAAATCTGACAACTAGTGTTTTACTTGCTTAGGTCAATATAAAAACAGAACAGCAACAGAATTACTTGAAAAGAATTTTAATGCAAATTTATAATGACCATTTGAATACAATCTCATTACTAACTGGAGAACAGAGACAAAACCAAAGTTATACAAAAGGCACCTACACTATGTTGTATGGCTAAATTTTGGAACAAAACACATGTGATTTTTTTAGAATCAACAGAAGGATTGGCAAAAATTGTGATAATCAGGTACTAATCAATCAGAGCACATGGTTTTGGAGTCCAATGAAACGGAAAGCTGCTGCTTCTTCTTATTGCTCTCGAGTCTCACCTCCTGTGGAATGTCCTCCTCAGTCACTTCCTGTAGTACGTTTTTCAGCTCTGAATCACGGATGTACACCAACATGTAGGCGTTGGTGCAGTGTTTCACTGTCATATTCATATCATCATCATGGCCACCAAAGTTGTGATCAATTGCCTCCTGTTTTGTGCATCTTGATACCACATCATCATCAAATTTGCACCACTGAAATTCAAAACATGCAGTTCTGATTCTATATTCTGTCATTCTGTCAGACAAAAAGTCCAGTATGAGCTCCTGAAAACTTAGAACTCAGGTTTTAGAATTATTAGTTCTAATAAGAGACAAAAACTCTGTCAATCTTAGAGAGGAATAAAGTTTCTCAATCACTGTCACGAAAGTTGTCCCTCCTAACGAATTAGGCACCACAACCATGAAGGCGTATGGGGGAGTGGATGTACAGATTCACGTTTTCTTGACCTTGGCACTAGTTTGAGGTGAGTGGTCAGCTTCACACCCTTGTCGCTTTACCCCCAGGGAAAGAGCCCCCAGTACCCATTGGATAGGAGGTTGGGTGGATCCCTGAGCCAGTCTGGACAACTTCGAGGAAAGAAAATTCTTGCACTCCTCCCCAGACTCAAACTCAAGACACCTCGGTCATCCAGCCCGTAACCAGTTGCTATACCAATTGTGCTATCCTGTCTCCCTCAGTCAATGTCATAACATTTATAAAAGACTACTACTCCATAACATACATAAAATTATAGAAGCAACACTTGGTAAGGTCCAACATGCACTCTGTTGTGAAAGACCGGTAACACATTTAACCTTTACAAATAAATTGAGACACACCTCAAGTGAGGAAATAAATTAGTAGTTGTATTTTTACATTCCGAAAAGATCAGCAGTATAGAGACTTATGATGTTATACAAGGAGGTTCTTAGCTTTCTTGACCAGTTCACGGCTCTGCACCTGCAGAGATACTTAAACATGCAAAATAATCACTACAGGAGTTCCAAGAATCCACATCTAACCCATGAAGTCCTGCTCCATCCAGTGAAATCTGATGTCTGGTGTGCTGTAAGTGCAAGGTTTGTTGGACTTGATGTTTTTTAATGAAACAATTAACTGCGAAAGATATGTACAGGTCATTCTCATTCAATTCTTTCCAGTGTTAAAAGAAGAAAAGCCTACGGATGTTATCAACAAGACTCAACTACTGCCTACACTGCACAGGTCTATGCAGGCTTTGTCTGATGTCTTCGAGGACAGGCTTATAAGCAGTGGTATTTGGCCAGCATGTTCACCCGATCTTAATCTTTGTGATATTTTCTTCTGGAGTTGTTTGAAGGACAAAGTTTACAACAGTAACCCCCAAACAGAAGAACTAAAAGAAAATATTCGTAGGTAAATTGCAAATAATCCCACAGAATGGCTTCAAAGTGTAAATCAGCACCTTTTCCACCAGTGCAAGGAATGTCTATGCCCAGAGGGACAGCATTTTCAACACCACCTCTGATCTGTGAATTGTAACTATGTACTTCATTCCAAATGTTATCGGTCAAGAGGGATACTGATTCATCAGCAAAATTCATATGCACCTTGCAACTGGTGGTACACTGGTCACCATGAACTGCTCAACAAAGGTAAGAACCTCTATATACTTATCAGCCCCTAAGACCAAAGTATAAATTTTCACCTTAGTGAGAATACCAAATCTCCAAGAGGCAATATAAGAAACAGGGGGAACTAATTCATCTAGTGACGCATAACATGCATTACTTTCCCTACAAAAAATACCACCTACAATCTCCCAAAAACTTTTACACCAGAAGTCTATAATGTAAATATGACAAAACCCTGGAATGTGTGAAGTCTGACACAGCCAGATTTTTTCTTGTACAATAGTGCAATATCAGAATTAGTGGCATACGCATGGGGTAGAACCACAAATAAAATGTTGAATTATTAAGTACCTTGGCATTTGCAGGCACTCACACAAACTCACATGTTCAGAGAACGTGTCACTTGTGTAACATGAAGATATGTTAATCCATGTAAGATCTGAGGCTTTCACGGCGGTGACTATGAAGAAAGCAGTCTTCTGGGATTTGCCACCGTGTATATGTGGTGTTAACCGACGTTTCGGAGGAACGTATCGCCTCCATCTTCAGGGTAGAAGAAGAAGTATAAGAAATCTGCAAGCGAAGAGACCGTGAGAACCGGTACAAGCAGACTGCTTGTTAACACCACATATACACGGCGCCAAATCCCAGAAGACTGCTTTCTTCATATGTTAATCCAATTATAACATTCAGTGTCTACACTGAAAAATTTCCTTTATCTCGGCACAGTGAAAGGCAAATACACCAAAATTCATGACGTGCATATCTAGGTTCAAAAACTCTATGGATCTTAAATCATTATTCGCACTCCAATACATGTCTTCATTACATTTTGAATTCAGTGCCTCCGTGTGCATACCTTGCCATCACCCTTAGGATTAATGAAGACAACATAGTGGCCTCCATGGTTATCACCACTGTGGACCAATACTGCATGCAACGTGTAGTCTGCTCGTGTTGGCTCTTGTGGCTGCAGATATGACTCTAGGTTTATCTTTTCATAGAATTCAAACCTGCAATAAATACAAAATTTGTAAAAGAAAGAAGAAAACAGTTAAATAAGAAATATGGTGAAACATGTATTAAGTGTTCGTGGAGGCTATTAATAGGTCTCAGAACAACTATGTCCATTCAACATACACTCAATTTTCAACATCATTGCTCATACTTTTTTTTTTACATTTGGCATTCCCATTAATGTGTAAAAAAAAGTTAAGCTATCACTGTACCAGGCCATGAAGGCACATAGGGTTGTGAGACGTTGAGGGTCCCACATTATCTAGACAATTGGCTCAAAGATGGCGGTAAAGTTGTCAGTCTTACGTGCCGGCCACGCTTTACTATCCAGGAAAAGTATTTAATTAATTCCTGGTACTCATTTCTGTTAGAGGCTGAGTGAACCCTAGTGCCATAGTGCGGCTTGAAGGATTGGGTCAATTGAAAAAATCCAATGACCTCATCAGGACTTGAACCCGCGACCTTCCAGTTTGTGTACGTAAGAATAATACTGCTCAATTTAAAAGCCTTTAAAAAATATGAATAGAACTACACTTATGTTGGTACTTGTAAAAAAATAACATTAATAAAATATGTTTTTGATGATGTTCCAGCAAGCTTCAATTCTCAACAACAGTATCTTTAAATACACAGAGGAGGACTGATTGACGCCTGCATTATATTAGCTCCATATGTTAACATCATCATTAGAATTTTAGTGACTACACATGGGACTTAGATTGGGAATTGGATTTACTGGATGCTTATAAACCATAATTATAACACTATCACTAATCTACACCCTTTACAATTCACGAGAGCACATGCTAATCCTTCTCAGTTCGTCTTCATTGGCCGTAGCTAGGTTGCGGCTCCCAACAAAGTAGATTCTTCGGATGTGTTCAGTGGCTCCTTTCCTTGCTGGGTGGCGACTCACCTATGACAGCAACTCCCTCATAATTCTGAACTGGCAACAGTGACAGGTAAGCTGCTGCTGACCCTAGCCAGCAGAGTTATTCTTGGTTCTGAGTCCCGTGGGACTCAATACTGGCCTTTACTGGTCCTTGTTATATAGCCTCCAGTTGGGCGCAACAGAAAACACTGTTTCCAGCAGTTCCTCCACTGTTGTGTCACATGTTTGTTGTTGCGGAAACATGTTTACTGAGCCACTGCCTTGGAATGAAGTACATATTATTAAGTGTTTACCCAGCCATTGCCTAGCAACAGCTGCCTCTTTCAATCATCTTTTCACATTGCTCTCCCAAGCAGCCCTAAGGCATACTGCAATTTCTTCTTCCTTTCCATAATGTTTTGTCACCATTTCCCAGAGTCTGATGGAAGACCTGACTGTTAGTGATCTCTAGCTCCAGGGTCTGCCTAAGCGTCTCGTTGACAGTTGTACTACTTCACAGACACAGCTGCTGTTTTATGCCTAGGTCTCTTATGTTGTTGCTGCTGCATTCTGGCCATGTCCATCTTCTCTTCCCAAATGTCGGTCATTCAGGGGCTTCATGCAGAACACTGTTGGTTGGCCTCCAACTCCTCTGGACAGGCCTCCATCTTGGCCACTATTTCTTTTCACCCAGCTTTCATTATGGCCAATAACAACTTCCCATGGCTGGTTATCATCATCTTGGCCTTCAATACTTCCTGGTCAGCTTCCATCTTTCCTGGACATGCCCCCTTCTTGGCCTATTTTCCTGGCTGGTCTCCAACACTGCCTTCATTTTTTCTTGAGAGGCTTTCATTTCTTCTCAAATGGTCTTCATCGATTCTGGAAGGGCTTCTACCTTTTCTTGCTCGGTTTGACTTGGCCTTAATATAAGCTTGTAGATCCCATATGGCAGCTATCAGATCTTCCATGCCAGATACAGTGAGCTATCGCACCGGCTCCAACAAAATCAATCCAACAATCCAATTAACACATTGACCCAATCCAACTTCTGACACCATTTGCCACATGTTAGTGACTAGATATGGGGTTTGGATTGATCATTGGATTTATTGCAATTGCACACTTACAACTTCAAACTGCAAGCAATTATAACGCTACTGTCAATCCACACATTTTACAATTCACAAGAGCAGATGCTGATTCTTCTCAGTTCATCTTCACTAGAGGCTGCCTGGTAACAGCTACCCTCTTCTGCTCGTGTCGCTACTGGCTGGCGACCGTCTCACAACTAACCCAGTGCTCCAAATGTACCCATTGGCTGGTAACACCCACAGCTAACCCATGACAGAAACTCCTTCATATTCTCCACTGTTACTGTTGCATCATGCATTCACTGTCATGGGAACATGTTTATCAATCCATTGCCTCATGGCAGATCAAGTATTATTATGTGCTTACAGAGCCAATGACTAGCAACGGATGCCTCATTCAGTCATTATCACAGTATTTTATGATCAGCTCAATTGTATGCATCTGATCTAAACATGTAAAATTATTTATAGTCTTATTTCACAACTGGACAGTATTGACAATAACCACACAATACTGAAACATACTGGTTTTCTAAATTATTAATTAATTAAAAATTTGAAATGCCTGACACAATTCTTATCAGCAATAATATTTTCTATCAAATACTGCTTTCCTTTCGTTGGGTGAGAAACATGTACAGGTATTATAGTGTAATTTAGCCAACCAACTCCGTAGTCTAGGGGTAACGTTCCCACCTCATGACTCAAGGTAAGCGGGTTCAAACCTGGCAGAGGTCATGGAATTTTTAAGGGCGGAAAAATTCAGTCAAGTCCTCCGGGAGGGACTTTAAGCCGTGGGTCCCGTGTCGTAGCTTTACGGCATGTAAAAGAACCTCATGCCTCAAGGAGGCCTCTGAGCCAAATTATAAGGACATTTCCCACCCAACAATAGTCTCTAACACCTCTGGTAGATGGGGGAAGCATCTAGATACCGCTGAGCCAGTAGAGGTCGAACTCGCTGGCTGAGTCGGGACTGATGGCAGGCACCAGTACTGGTAGGGTATAGACTGGTAGAATATCACAGGGGGACATACAATAGACCACTGTTCGCGGTGCATGGGGAAACCCACCCCCTCCAATAATAATAATAATAATAATAATAATAATAGGCAACCAACTTAACTGTTTAAATTTTGCTACCTACTCACCTGTCATTGAACTTCACAGAACAATCAGTTATGGGGTCATACTGGAACCTCATAAGGTGTAGATGTAATACAGGAGGAAATGAAGCAAAGATAACACCCTTCTCAGCATCTTGTAGTCCGTGTTCACCTGCATCATACTTGTTATCTCCGTCAAGCACCTCAGTCGCAATATAGTCATGGAAAGACTCTTCAACTGAACAAGGAAAATAATTTCTTACAGGAATCTTTCAACTGCTTTTGGTTCAATTCCGTTATCTAGCTACATATGCACAAAGTAAAGTTTTAAAATTCATATCAATGGAACTGTGTCCGCAGGTATTATTGTTACTTACTGCTTACTGAAAACAAGGAATACATAGAACAAGTAGTTTAACATTTCCAGTGAAAAAAAAAAAGTCAAATCTAATACTCACTATTTTTCTTTCCTTTAATATTCAGTTGGATGTCATAAAAAGTTTCCACTCTTGTTGATTTGTAATCAATATTTTTGCATTTTATGAAAGACTGAAACATAATAGGAGTATGATTAAGTCATAAATTTTCATCACCAGCTTCTCACTTTGCACATAAGAAAACATGAAAAGTACTTACAACCATCTTCCCTTCAAAGAGCTTGGGAACTGTTCCTTCCACACAAGTCCCCTTCATCTTGCTTTCCAACTTGTCTAGCAACTGAAAGCAGGTAGCATAACTGTCACATTTGAAGAGCAATAATATATTCATAGCCTCATAATTGATTTAAAGGTTTGCACAAGAATCTGTACATAAGAATGAAACAAGAAATTCTGGAAACAGCTTGTAACACCTTATCTGTTCTGACTCCATGTATGGAGAAAGGCTAACAACAATTATAATCCAATATGATATGGCACTTGTCATGATGGTGAATCTGAAGATTATGGTCTTCTGGGATGTGAAACCATGTAGTCTAGTAGACAATGCCCATGTTTTTAGACCTGGCCATTCTCGAACAGAATGCACACTGGATACGATCAAGTCTACTAAAGGTATGATTCGCAAGAAGCGTCTCTTCCGGCTGGGTGATGCGGCGGTCTGCACATGCGTAGAAGGAAATCATTCAGCCCCAGAGTCTCTGGATGTGCGGCCCTGGTCGACTGCCTACAAGACCAGTATAGCCGCACAGTCGCATGGATCACATCGCTTCGAGAGGATACAACAATGGCATTTTCAAGCACAGAAGACATTGTTTTAATTTAATTAGTGGCACATTCATCCTTCACTAGGTGCCTATTATTTAGGATGGTATTTAATCCCTCCTCTGATCTTGCTTTGAACAGGTCATACACAGATCTACACGTATTTCCACCATTCTCGTTCAATATCAGGATGTAAAAGTTCATTGTCTTCCTCATCTTCGAGCATCAGTAGACGAAGAACACCACTTTTATCCATGCATTTCCCTCTCATTACTGGGAAGTAATTATACCAATCACACCAAATCTACCCGATTACAGCCACGTCTTAGGAATGGTGCAATCGAAGAGCCGCTGCGGCTGGACTCGTGCAGCTGGATCACATGGCTCTAATCGCTTCTTGCGAACCATACCTTATGATAGGTACTACAGGTTGTGTATGGGTTATAACAGTGCCTTAGTTACAGTCCAACCTCCCTCCCTCTCACAATGAGCTGCAAGCAATGTTCCACTACTTCTTGCTTCTCCTCAAACACAACTGAGAGATATGGTTTAAGAATATGGCCTGTACCAACACTTCAGAATCTACTGTCTTCACCCTGAAATATTTTATAATTCAATAATTATCGAACTTCTCACAAACTTCTGTGCATTTCTCCATTCATGCAGATCCCTTCTACATGAAGTCGCGTGTAACTTCTCAACTCTGCTTCATTTCCGTGTGCGCCATTTTTAATAAAAAAATTTAAGCTTCATATAAAATATGTATATTTTTATTATCAGTTGCCATACCAAATTTTATATTCCTAGATGTAATGGTACATTAGTTACTTCCACTATGTGGATAGCTTCTCATAGAATAGATAAAGTGACCAACTTCACTATGACACGTGTAGACAACAGACTTTTATATGACGAACATTAACGGTTTGCTCCAGAGAAGAAACCTCATGGCCTATTTTTAGTGAATGGTGTGGCAATTCTCTTAAGCACCTGATAGAAATAGTAAGCAATTCAGAATATCCTTCAATATTGAAGTGAGCACTTCATACGTGCAGTTATACATACCAGGGATGTATGCAGTGAATCAGTTTAATGTAACCCCAGGCGAATGGCTTTTCTTACAATAATTCAAGGTCTTCACTTAATAAGGATTATGAAAAATTACATCTAAAAACTGTTCATTTTTGTATAAGACTTAAGACTTTATAAGACTTTATGATTAAATAATTTCTTCACATGAGTAGTTAAACTGTTCTACCCAAATAAATACTACTCCACAATCAACAGTATCAACTAATTTAAAAAATAATTCATGACATACGAAATGAATACTGAGAGAACTGATGAAGAATGCAACTATAGTGAGTCAATTAACAGTGATTTCAAAACTGCAGACTAAACAGTGTCAAATGGAAGGATGACAGATGAAATTGAAAGGATATGGAAGGAAGGGGTCATCGCCTAATTGAGACAATCAACTAAGATGTCGCAAGCATGTTCAACATGTATTGCGCTGAAGTGACTATGTTTGCTTCAACAATCAGTTTATCAGCTTATTTCAATTAAATATTTGTTTCTCAAATACAGTTAATTCACTACGAAAATACACTACTGAAGCATCTCAGCCACATTTTCTTGTCCAGGGTCACTTGCAAACATAGTTGTTGGACCACACTGATGGTAATATCCAGGGCCCAGATTTTGATGACATGTCATCTTTTTTTCCTTGTATCCTATGCGATGCTCTAAATATATAAATCTCGGATGAGCTGCTGGTTACAGAAATGTAAATTTTACATGTATTTTTTTTTACATTTTTAGGTTCAAGGTCATTTTTTTCATTTTGGGGGTAATTTTTTGGGCTTTTAAGGGTATTTCTTGTCATTTTTGGCCATTTTAGGGAATTTTTCTTCATATGTTTTCTGAAATGTGAATATGGAAGCAAAGTATTCTTTCTCTTTCTCCTTTAGGTCATTTTTCTGGATATTTTTGGTCATTTTATAGGTCATTTTTTAAATATTTTCAGGTCATCAAAATCCGGGCCCTGCATATTACATTTTTGGGCCATATTTTAGGTAATTTTTCTGGATTTTTTGGTCATTTTTTAAATATTTTCAGGTCATCAAAATCCGGGCCCTGGTAATATCTAATAAACTTACCACTCGCAAGAACTCCTGGACATCATGTTGCATGAATGAATCTAGTGTTTCCCATCCAAATGACTTAGTTAATTTCTTTGTGCCTACTGGTTTGTCACAGAACTGCAGTTCATGAAAGACTCGCTGCAATGCAAGAGCCACACTCTTGCTTGAGTCATCACTCTCTGTTGGCATCTTGTACACAGCCTGCAAAATATTGTAAAGGCATTGAAATTACTTACAGTTCACAGAAAATTTGCATTAACTTAATATCTACATAAATTTTGCTTCCACACATATTCTAAGAACAAATCCCCACAGTGGAACAAATTACCAAATAACGTGTAAAAATTATCACCTAAATTTTCATATAGGAACCACATAACACATACCAGCCCACAAAACTCCTACTAACATGCCTCATTTACATGTTTATGCAGCCATAGGATAACTGAATATGCTATTTTCCCATTTAGCCATGATCCCTCTCGATACAACTTCATCATTATTGCCAAACTGCTCTTCTTGAGTCACAGCCCTCCTTAGAAGATTCTGCCAGATTTGTTGTGAATTAGACCATCCAGTTGTCACTTCTTTGGATTTCACAACCATAATGTTTTAATAGTGCAAGGGCGTCAGCCTTGCATTCAACCCACAACCTGGAGGACCAGGTCTTGGCATGTAAGTCCCCCAGTGACAGAGTGGCTAAGTTACATCCCAGGCATTGAGTTCTGTTTTCAATGCCTTCCACAACTCGCGGGGCTATGGTGGAGGTATTCTAACCCTGAAGCCAGCAAATTTTCACCTCCATAATTTCAATACTTGACAAAAGGTAGTGAAGGATTCAAAATGTAAAGTTCCATCTTACATAATATTTTCAAATAAAATTCTGTTTGACCTTACATACAAGTATTTTCCTTAGCATTTTATTTTGTAACATAAATCTTGCAGTATGACACCATGTTCACAATGAAACAAAAATGAAGCCCCCTTCCTGCCCCCCCCCCCCACAAAGGCATGTTCAACAACAATTACCTCAAAGAAAATTAATTTTCCATCCCAGCGAAGTGTTATGCATATGGGCTATAATGTTACAAACTTTAGTATTATAGAAGCAAAAATATTTAAGTTTCCTGACTCTCAGTAACAGTTTACTCTTTTTAAACTACCAGGTCTTCCTTGTCAAGGCTTGTCAGTCTATCCAATTCTCTGCATATTGGCCATGAGACTATTATCAGTACACTTGTACATAATTATGCTGTACCTTTCGGAGTTGATTGGTGAAGTACAAGGTCTGCAAGAGAGAGTTCATGTAGCAGGTTGCACCCTGATTCTTCAGTCCAACATAGCCGGTATGTTTCTTCGAGTCCCAGCTCACACCATGAGGAGCATCTGCCACTACATGGACCTAGAACAAGAAAATTATTACAAATTAGAAGAATTAAATTGCATTTGCCTATTTCAAAATAGAGAGGCTGCTTCATAATTTCCAATAAAATTCACTGTAAATACAGTGCGCAAAAACTAAAAGCCTTATCTTCATAAGAACGTACTATTATCTAGTCTTCTATATAAGAATTATAATATGAAGAGGAATACAGATTGCAAACATACTGACCATTATATGGTTAGGGCAGGAAACTGGAAACATGAGATGTTCTTTTAGTTCTCTCTCAAATCGTATGTATAGCAAGTGTCCAAAAACCTGACAAATGGAAGAAGGCAGACCATCTAAAGGCCTCCTGAAGACAGGCTGAGCTGTCACCACCAGTTGAATGACAGAAGGGAAATACGTAAAGTGTATAACTGCAAAGGATAATGGGGGGGGGAGACAACATATCTTTACAAGACCAGTACTGATGGGCAGTTTAAGTCTTGTGTGTGATTTTAATCTTCTATTGATGGGTGCGCCTGAACCTGGTAAATCAGCTCCTGTGCTACCGTAGTGCAAAGCTTGGATGACAAACATTCAGCATCCTGCTGTATGCTATCAGGTCATGACACTTGTACAACTATCACATAGCACTCAAAAAGTAAGTTCTATACTATTTCATATAACTCACGTTTAAAAATTTATGATGTACAAATAATGTTAAAAACACCAAATTTCATTAAGAATTAATCCTCCTTTTTGATGTACTCAAACAGTCTTCTGGACTTTTTGGCCTGACAGCCTGGTAAGGATGAAGGATTCTGAAATGAAATTGTTCAGGAAAACATACTGTTAACTCCTAACAATAGAATGATGAGTCGTAAAGGTAATGACAACACGAATGACATGGGAGGGGACGCTTCTAGGCATCCATCCAGTGACTGCGACTACATCTCCACAGTGCGGTGCTTCATTAGTTAGGCGTAGGGATAACTTTACCTTTACCTTACCTTGCATGGTAGCGGCCTCCGTAGTCTAGGGGTAACGTTCCCACCTCATGACTCAAGGTACGCGGGTTCAAACCCGGCGGAGGCGGTGGAATTTTTAAGGGCGGAAAAATTCAGGGAACAAGTCCTCCGGGAAGGACTTTAAGCCGTGTGTCCCGTGTCGTAGATTTACGGCACGTAAAAGATCCTCATGTCTCTAGGAGACCTCTGAGTTAAATTAGACAACAATTTCCCACCCAAGTAGTTTCCAATGCCTCTGGTAGATGGGGGAAATATTGGGTACCGACGGCCGACCTCGTTGGCTGAACGGGGCTGATAGCACACAGCAGTACTGGTAGGGTATGGCAACAGCAGAAATTAAAGGGGGATGCACAATGGACCAATAACTGGTCTAAGTGCATGGGGAAACCCACCCCCTCTAATAATAGTAATAATAATAATAAATAATACCTTGCATGGTACTGATCATACAGAGAGAACAGATTTAAATGTCTGGGCACATGACAGGAGACTGAAAGCAAAATTAGGCTGTTGCATTAAATTACATAATAATGTAATGATCAAACCTCTAAAGTGATGGTATCATCCTTGATAAATCCTTTCTCTGGATCGAGTACATCTTGCCATGACATGAAGTGGCTAAAACCCCAATCATTTTCTTTGCTGTAGAACAGATGCTGAATTTCTGTCAAGAAAGAAAAACATTACTGAAATTTAATCAAAGCCTATTACAATTAACATATCAGACACTTTGTAAATGAAAAAGGAAAACTGGTATTTAGACACAAATTCTTATTATTAGTAAGCAAATGAAATGGATGTACATACAGGGAAGTTTTGAATCAAAAGCTTGTAGATGCAGGAGGGGGGGGATGCAGTTCTCCTTTTCATCAATGAAATGACATGAACCCAAGATTTTCTGTATGCGCACGCATGCATTATAAAACCACCTCTCATGAATACATGACCATTCTCACTAGTACTGTCAACTTCTGGATATTCTTCCACAAAACATTAATGATATTTTAAAAAACTTCCAACTGGATACCACATAACATGATATTTTAAAAATGGTTTGTAATAATGAAATAAATTTTAATTCACATTTTAAGCATCAAGATAGTTTATCCTCGAATCTAGGATGAGAACTGAATATATATTGCGACCTGAAATTTCAATAGAAAGTGGATATTACATCAAGGGTTGAATGCATGTGACAGACTGAATTGTCATGTCCTGATGCCAGATCCTCCTTGCAGATGACACACTGTTACACTTAATTCATAATACTTCATTTAAATTTAAACAGCAGTTGTACCAAACGCACAATCGAGACAATATTGGCAATGAATTACAAACAAATCTGCATATAGACTGGAAAAGAATTACAATGACAGGCAAGACAGTTAATATTAAAATGGTGGACACAAATCATGAGCATTTTAAGATGTAATATGAACTTAAAGTTCTTTAACAAAGCTCAAAGAATCTTGCTCCAATATCTAATTTACTTACTACGACTAAACAGCTCTCCATCTTCCTTCTGGCTAAGAAGCCGTAACTCAGCAACAGCATAACAACTCCATGATGATGATTCTGATTCGCCATTACACTAAAACAAAGGAATATAATGTAGTGTGCTTTGTAGAATTCTACAATCATGGGTAATGTACACGATTCCATTTACATACAGTAGTTTGCAGCTTCAGACAGCCCAATGGGGACTAATTACTGTACATATAAATCATTTTAAATTTTATTCCTTATATAATAATTGATTTAGCATCTCAGAATCACAAAACTTATGGTAGGCAAAGTCAAATCTCAAAGCCGTCCATCCTGTTTCTCTAATTACAGATGATTATTATTTTTGTAGCTATGTTAACATACATAACGAATGTACTGTTCCATACGGAAGAACCAAAAATGGATTCTAAAAATCATGGTGTTTTTCCATGGGATATAAATCATCACAGTGAAATTAAACTCAAACACTGTATTAGACATCAAAAATGTTAGGTAACTTATTCATTGCACAGTAGCAAGGATAGCCATGTGATAAAAGTTAAACTAATCAGACATCAATCTTCATTTCTGTTCTGTGTTTTTGCTTATGAATTTATGACTTAAGATAATTATTTTATGGTCACAATCTTGTGTGAAAATTCGAAAACAAAGGAATCAAGTGCCAGAATTTGGACAAACTAGAGACCAAGCATGAAGCTGATTAATTACAGTATAAAAGAGACACTGCTAGAAAAATGCATTGTTGTAAAGTTTCTCGGATGCATTGAAGTAAGTGGTAATGAAGACAGTGCAATAAATTGAATTGATCTCATATCACAACTCTCTGCCACAAATGTTGCCACCAGCTTCTGTGATGCTCCATTTAATATAATATAAATTTCATTATTCATATGGCCCATAAAATTTAACTAGCCACTAATGTGCACAATAGAACTGTCTTATGTCAGAGTAAACTCAGTTTCATAAAGAACATTATCTCTCAAATATTCACAATGGTAAAGAATGTCTGGCAGTTTGCAACACTAACATATTTACTCCTGCCTTAACAAACATTCTTTTATTGCACCATAGCTCAAGTTGTTAGTCGCTGGCTTCCCACTGCGGCGGCCTGGGTCTAATCCCGGGTCCGGTCAAGTGGGATTTGTGGTGGACAAAGTGGTGCTAGGGCAGGTTTTCTCTGAGTACTTCAGTTACCCCTGCCAATCTTCATTCCACCAATTGCTCCACAATCACCCTCACCTATCATCTGGGGCTGGTACAAGAGGTCACAAGTGGCCGCAGTACAAGGGACTTCGTCCCAGCCCACTAGCAATAAAAAAAAACATTCTTTTATGAGTGACAGTACCATGAAATTTCTTTTCCATGAAATACAACCAATACACTGCTGTAAAACTAAACAAGTTGTCACCAATTATAGAAAATAGTCCCCAAACCACTGACAAATAATTTTTCATAAAACTACATAACATATAAGGCAATTTGAAGTTGCTCTTAAAATGGTGGGGGGACAGCAATTTACATGACCCACTATCGACGTTCTAAACCACACATGAGAAAGTGAACTTCTCCAACTTAACTCCAGTGAAACAGTGAAATCTCAAATTCGTATTTCCTTATTTGCTTCTTCCTCCAATTTACACAATTTATACCTTCTTGCTTTACTTTATTCCCAACAAAACCATTAAAGTTGCCTGCCACTGGAGCAGTATACTTCAGCGTTCCAGAAGATTCCATGATCTAGGTTTTAATACCATTTATAATAAAGGAATTTGCATCTGTACCAATTTTCATGTCAACCGTAGGTTTGCTGCTAGCTTGTCAGTATGAAGTTCTGGTCACATGATCATACAATCCACATACATTCAAGGGTCAGTCACTTCTGAAATTTCAACACCTGCATGAGTCAGAAAGAAGCCTGAAGGAGAAGGCTTACCTTACACTTTCTCATGCCAATCATGTGTACTGTGGTTTGCATGGAAGAAAAGGAGATCCAAGTATTCATGGAAACACAGAGCATACAGTACTGGCAAGTGTAGCACTGTGGAACATGGTTTTCAGCAAGTGCAAACTGCTTTGTTACATGTGCAGGCAAAGAGCAGAACTAGATTCAGCCATCAATTCCAGTGAAAAAGCTGTAGTGAGCGAGAGTAATACACTGCACTACAGTCTCAACAAGTATAACTGTCTCACTATCATAACGGTGCAAATCTGAGAACTAAAGAATATACTGAAAGGTGCTTGATTTTGGGGAGTAACTCTGATGAAGCAATCTCATCTGGCATTGAAGACAACATGGCAAAGGGTGCAGTCAACAGCACTGAAAGCAGAAGTCAGAATAAAATTTGGTCAACCCTTGAAATTCTGGTCATGTTCACCCTTTCTGTGAATGTCCAAGTGCCCTGAAGATACATGAGGAACCACATGGGAACCAAGACATTGTACTAATTCTCCGATCCTTTATGAATGATCCAGCTGTTAGTGGCAGAGCAACAAACAGCCTGATCAATCATTAGACACAGCAGACAACGATGACACACAATTCCAGACATGACTGTACTGAAGTAGAATTTCTAGGATTAAACAGCACAAATGGGGCATGACATCATAGATATAATAAAAGATTATCGGTCCACTCTCCAACAGTTCCATATACACCATTTTTCAACCACTCAAAATTTAACGGAAATGAGTGCAATGGACCCACATTGTCAATTCACTCCAAAAGAGACGCCTAACACTTCAAGCTGGTAACATGACCAGCCTTGAAGCTCCATGTGCTAATCACTGGCCAGCTGTAAGATCGTAATTGTAAAGCCCAATGTTGAAAGTTTCTGTCTGTATAGGTCCTATTTATATTTACCACATAAATGTGATCTTCTGAATCAGAGTTTAAACAAAATACAGGAAGGAAATCATTTCTAGAAATAGAGTTGGACATCTGGATTTTGTTTTATTTCAGGAATCTATATATTTTTTTTAAACACCAATTTTACATCATTAAAAAAAATTAGAACCTGGCAATGTATGACCTTTCAAATAAGTTCTACTGTAGTATTTTAGAAGGAACAGTTCCAAAGATATATAATTTTCTGAACACTAATACCACAAGTAGTTAAAACCTACAAGATAATGGTTAATGTATGTACTTTTCAAATACATTCCTACTTTCGGATCCTATAAAATACTCCATTAATAGATACTATTTACTTCTCAAAGACCTTTCATCAAATAGCACCTCGAAAGTTTAGTTTTGGTTCCGATCATTCCTAAGTTTAATAAATATCAAGCTGGGGAGGTTTCCAAACAGTATGATGTTCACAGCTACAATTAATGATAACCAGTCAATTTTGTCCCTCTAATAGTGGGGCCTGTAGCTGAACAAGAAAACACTGGAACTTGCAAACAGGGTACGAAAAATGAACTCTGGTCCTACAAAATTTCTTGCAATATGCACTTTTACCAGATAACTATATCTTCTGCATTTATAATTATTCTGCCAGCAACCACTATTTCAATGATAAATCATGACAATTGTTTTCATCATTTCAACCAAAATTATAGATATAATTTCAATAATATTTGGTTTGAGTTTTCAAATAACATCACAATAAAATAAAAACAGAACAAAGATTCCACATCCCTACATTTAGTTCTAAACTTGCTACTGTCATGTGTTATCTACTTACTCAATGAACAAACACAGACTTTATTTAGCTAAACGTAACACAAAATTAGAGACTTGAAAGTACCATGCAAAGACATGAGATGAGGACTTACATATCAATATTTTAAACTTCAGTAGCAAAGGACCAAGGAGATCAAAACTTTAAACTTAGGGGACATAACATGCAGAATTCAGGTGGGTAGATATGAATGTTCAATACATCTACTTCTCAACAGACACTTTGAAAGGCATGCCAAGAACTAGACAGTAAACATTCAATTTCAACTCAGTATCCAGTACTGATGGAGGCAACTGAAAAAGTAGATGTGAAATCCCGTCACAGAAAGTTGAGATGAACAAAAAATACATACATAAAATAAATATTAAAAATAGGATCTCATCAAAGTCATTGGGAAACGAAAATCTCAAGACTGCTACAGTTTTCCTTGCTCTTATAGTAATTCCTTTAGACGTTCTGAAAGCCTCAAATAATTAGTGCATAACCAAAATATTCACAAGTTCCTTTCTCATGACCAGATTCCAAGAGTTCAAGATCAGTTCAGGATGAGAATACTATTAAAAAAAAAAACATAAAATTGGGGTAATGGATATGTATTCTATAAAAACAGAATACCCCTAGAAGCAGTTTCACACACAGGTAATGTAAAGAACAAAGCCTATCAAGAGAAATCACTAATATATATGCTAACGGTTTCTGAAAGATACTGTGGTAAGGTAAGCAAGAACAAGATTTAAAATGTCAAGTGCATATTTTCAAACAGTTCAAAATAGCACAAAATCACTGGCGATTTCTGATGAAGGGCAAATGAATCAGTCACACATATCAGAACAATATTTAAATGGTACTACAAAATAAATAAATGTCAATTTTTTTTATTGCTAGTGGGGTGGGACTAAGTCCCTAGTACTGTGGCCACTTCTGGCCTACTGTACCAGCCCCAGATGATACGTAAGGGTGATTGTGGAGCAACTGGTGGAATGAAGATTGGCAGGGGAAACCGAAGTACTTGGAGAAAACCTGCCCCCAGTGCCACTTTGTCCAGCACAAATCCCACTTGACCAGACCCGGGATCGAACCCGGGCTGCCGCAGTGGGAAGCCAGCGACTAACCACTTGTTCTACGGTGCGGCCCTTGTTAAATTTACTTCAATAACTACCAACCAATACAATTATGACTAACATTTTTATTAAAAATCACGTCACAATCTGACTGCACAAGTCATCATCAGGTGGCACACTAACTAGAAAACCTTATCAGCCTTACACAACTGCTGCCCTTTACTGCCCCAGGTACTTTTCCTGGTACTCATTTCTGTTAGGGGCTGAGTCAACCCAAGGGCCTATCGTGGTTGGAAGGATTAGGTAAACTGAAAAAAATCCAATGACCTCATCGGGGCTTGAACCCGTGACCTGCCGGCTTGTAGCATAGTGCTTCAACCAACCATGCTAACATGTGCCTTGAACTTTCATTAATATTTATTAAATAGTTATTAATTCTGTAATTATTAAACACACCAGAGCACCAAATTCAAAGGTTTCATACATTTACACAAACAATGGAAGAACTAAATGACATGTCAAGTAGGTAGGGAGTAATCTGCTATGGAGCCAATAGGGTGGACTCTTGACTCTTTCTACGTATTACAAACATACTTCATACTGAAGTGGTAATTTAAAAATAAAGGAAAGAAAAATAAAATCTAAACAAAGAAAAATAAGAAATTATAAAAGATAAAACAATTCCGTCCAATGTGACTGTTGAAGTTTTTACTACTTCAATTCTTAACACCCTTACATGTTTCTGTTGAAGTTTTTACTACTTCAATTCTTAATGCCCTTACATGTCCCTATAGGGACCAAAACATGTAAGGGTGTTAAGAATTGAAGTAGTAAAAACTTCAACAGTCACACTGGATGGAGTTGTTTTATCTTGTATAATACTGTTAGTGTGATGGACAATAATGAAACAAATCAAAAAAATAGGAAATGTTCTTCACAAAATTTCTTTCTCTAAGAAATCCTTACTCTCTAATTTTACTGAATTGAAGTCTAATGGACAGCAACCTGCAACAGCAATCATTTGCCATGATTTTACTGGCATAGTAAACTACTTCAATATCTGTAATCTGGCAAGAATCTAGGCTTCTTTCGATCATCCATACAACCACAAGACATTCTACAATACAAAAGTGAATATTACACTTTCCACATGAACCTAATTCAAATATAAAACATAATTTTCATAACCAGAAATTCTGTTTAAATTAGTTCACAAACATGCTGAAATACACAAAATACTGTATGCAGTCTCAAAATCTGCTACATCACTAGTGTAACAGCCAGTGAAAATTCAACAGGAAGTCTCACCATTTATTTATATACACTGCTCTACTAATAACTTCTCCTTTCTCCTGTATTCTTTTCTAGTCCTACATGCTACTGATGATGTGTTAAGGTTGATGCATAGCACAAAAATTAATCAGGAACAGTCTCCTTTATATATATCTACCTCTTGGACTTTGTGTTTCATTCTGTATGTGATGGATGGCAAAATCGAGCAATTTGTCTGCATCAAGTTTTACGTGAAGCTCAGTAAAGCAACTACCAAAGCCCTTGAAATGCTTCATGAGGCTTTTGGAGACCACTCCTTAAGCCAGACAGTGGTTTTGGAATAGCATTCACGTTTCAAGTGTCAGCTGAAGATGACAAACATTCAGAGCGACCAAGCACCAACAAAAAAAAACAAGAGAAAATGTTGAAAAAATTTGAGAACTCATCCATGAAGACTGTTGCTGAACAATCCATAAGCTTGCACACTGTTTGGATCAGATATGGAGTTTGCCAGGAGATCTTAACAGAAAATTTGAACATGCACCATTGCCACAAAGTTTGTTCCCTGAACTCTTAACAAATGATCAAAAGTAGCAGCATAAATGTGTCTTGAGCTATGAGAGAGGGTTAACGAGAACCCAACTCTTAATTCTAGGGTCATACTGGATGATGAAAGTTTGATTTACGGTTATGATCGAAGAAACAAAGCAAAAATCGTTGCGGTGGAAGAGTTCACAATCACCAGGAGAAAAAAAAAAAGTGGCAGGTCCAGAGTTCAAAAAAGAGCATTTTCACTGTTTTTTCGATATGAAGGGAATTGTTCACCGTGAATTTGTTCCTCCTAACACTATGGTCAACTCTCACTTTTACTGTGATGTTTTGAGATGCTTGAGAGTAAATGTGTAACTTGCTCCTTCAGCATGACAATGTGCCTGCCCACACATACCTGAAAACCACAGTGTCTGTGACTAACAACAACATGGTTACTGTTCCCCATCCTCCCTACTCACCGGACTTAGCCCCCTGTAATTTCACTTTGTTTCCCAAATTGAAATGAAACTGAAGCAACAATATTTTGAAACATTATCTGACATCCAAAGGCAACTGCAAGCAGTACTTGACAGCATTAACGAAAATGACTTCCACGGTGGTTTTGAAGCGTGAAAGAAAAGATGTGGTCATTGTATTTCCCAAGGAGACTATTTTGAAGGAGATGACAGCCAAAATTGAGTAGGTTAAATCAGCATTTCTTTTCTGACCTAGTATGGGAGCTTTCTGACTGCACCTCATACTCATGCAATGTGTTAACACTCAACAATTGTTATGGTGATCTGAAATTGCACAATAACAAGAAACCTCTTAAAACTTTCTTATATATATAAGAATTAAATCTACAAAACAACAGAACATATGGGAGTGAAAATTGAGCTGCTCTATGTATATGGCATCTTAGATCGGGATTAGCCAAATGTAAAAAGGTAAAGGTATCCCTGTAACAAGCCATGGAGCCCCACAGGTTTGTGAAATGTCAAGACTCCCACATTTTCTAAATGATCAGGTCACAGAGGGCGATGAGGTTGTCAGCCTCAAGTGCCAGCCGCCCTTTACCCCCAGGAAGATTCCTGGTACTCATTTATTAGATGCTGAGTTGACACCAGGGCCATAATGCGCCTGGAAGAATTAGGTCTACTGAAAAATCCAGTGACCTCATCGGCAATCAAATCCATAACCTTCCAGCTCGTAGCATAGCGCCTTGACCATACATGCTACTGCATGCCCCTTAGATCAGGATTGCATTATACATCAACTTAAAATAAACATTACCATGATTGCCACTGAATCTCTAAATGGTCACCTCTTGGAAAAAAAGAAGCCACTGGTAAAATTAGTGAGCAGTTTATAGTCAAAAAATCAGCTGAGAAGGCAACTGGAGACTGAGATAAAAAAAACAAATCTCTCATACTAGAAAGGCCTATCTGTTATAGTGGGCACACAAAGAGTACAGAAATGACATGTATGCACTTTTACCATCCAAACAAAAAAAATAATCTTACATCGGGCAGATATTAGAAAGTTCAACTGTAGGCCTATAAACCTTACTACACTGCCACCATGAAATGTCCGCAATAACATTTCTTATTACACAACATAATTCCCTCAAACATACTTAGTCACACACATCAGTGAAGCTAATCCAATTCTCTAGATGGTATACAGTTGCACAAGAATAACTTTCTTTTCACAGTAACATGCTTACAACTGTCATAAAAATTAGAATAGAGATGAATACATGTTCTTTTGGTTGGTTTCCAAAAGGAAGAAACCTAAAAAGTAGAAAATTCTTTTGATATCCTGGAAATGGTCATGATCACAACCATTTCACTGAATCACTAGATCCATCTGCACAAGTATATATAATCTCTCTTGTAGTCACTTATACACATTCACTTCCGTCTTATATGCAACTTTATTTACAAATACTCCTTTACTTAAAATACAAGTAACCAATTTACAATTGAGAATTAAATATTGCAACATGTTTTTGCCTGTACTCTGCTACCCTCAGGCACCTATTCGACTTGTCAAAACTACTACACTGTATTTTAAATGTATAATAAGTTATTTCCCAAGTTAAAATATTTCAATGTTTTCCATTTTCATCATCCACTCATTAAAAAACATTTGTTTGGGAACATCACTCCATACATTTCCATGTGCTGCCTTCCTCTTCCAACGTCAGTGTCATTCTGTGTAGTTCATATGCGCATCAGTAGTGGGTTATTATCTTGTTTTTATATGTGGCATTGGTATGTATATGTCTATGCTGTTGACTAGTTGAGTGTGTGTGTGTGTCACTTTTGTTTTTCTCTTGCAGAGTAACTATATTTAAGAATACTTTGCTTCCACACTGGTATCATAATTAACACTGATGAATATCAACAGATATAGTCACACTCAATCAAGGTTACAAATATCCACTACAAGAGCATGGCAAAAGCATTTGAAAACAGCAAATTTTAAAATAAAACTGATCCTTATTAATCCCACTATCTACCTGACAACTGCGCATATCTGCAGAGATAACAATATTTCAATGCTGAAAACTGTAATTTATATATGCAACTACTACCATAAGAAGAACTAAATGTAAATAAAACATGAAGACAGCAGAATTAAGGGCATTATTTCTAGATCATTTGTTCTTGATGTAAATTTTACAAGACTGAAGTAAGTCTAACATAAAAATGAACATACACATACGAAACTGGTACTTCTATTAAAATTAGTATCTTTCCTTGAAACACTATTGGCTAAGTAACTGTGAAGACTTATATACATTCAGTTATCCTAACCTGTAAGAAGAAACCTAGGCTTCTTTGTGTTTGTCTGTCCTGTGTCTGACTGGTTCGAGGCATCACCATTATCTTCCATGGTAAATTGCGCACATAACATGGAGGAGACAACTGTGATTCCTTCAGCTTGCTGAAGCCATGTACTGTATAACGAAATGTTGCTTCGGAGCGAGCTTCATCTAGGAAAAGAAAATGGATAAATCACACCAGTTTTTAAATAAAAGTGTAACTGCATCTCAATTATTACCACTATTACCTTCTTCCATTTCTGCATCCTGCGATACACTCTGATCCTGAGTTTCACCATTCATTTGCTGATTCTCTCCACCACCATCCCCTCCGCCTGCATCGTTTGCTGCCTCCACAGTCTCGACTGAAAGCAAATTCAACACATTCAACAAAATGACAAAAGTGACAACATATGTAACATTTTACACGCTGCAGAATTTTCGGTCCAGAGATATTTATTCTAAATTCTGCTTACGTCGAACTGACGATTCGGTTTAAAATTTAAATTCGCTTCACTAAACACAAACACTGTTCACTACAAAAATTTCAAAACTTCTGAACAAACTTCGGTCACCGCCATGCAAACTCACACGAATGGACGCCAAATATTACAATTAATGCTACAACTTCTCCTACCTTCCTGAGTGTCCATTTCTTCCACGTCATTATTTTGATTTTCTTTGTCATTCACGTGATTCATATTTTCAATAGCAGCAATTTGGCTCTGGATTTTTGATTTTTTGAGACTAAGAGTGACCGCACGATCTTTCCCTGTATTATAGGAGTTTTTACCGGACACGGTCACTTTAACGTGTTTACTCGCGATGCGCCCAATGTCTGCGGATTTCTTCACCCCCTGTTACCAGGGGAAACAACCGAACCATATATATTACAAGTAATTTATATATTCTCAGATCTTCAAATACACTAAAACTCAAAAGTTACACCGAATCACAATCCACCTATTTCACAGGAAAATAAACAAAATGGTGGATGGAGCCGTACAGAAACGGTTAGACTCGCTCTGCGTTTACATGGGTAATAACTGTGAACAAGGTTTGTGTTTTCAAAGGAACCGTGAACGGCTCCTGGCATTTCAGTGTTCTTGGCTGCGTATGTAAACGCCGTGACGTCACTAAGAGCTTTAATGCTACCATCTCCATTCCTATGCAAGTCCAGTGCTACAGAATGATCGTCCCCAGTGCCGAGAGTAAGGTCGGTAAAAAAGGTGTGCTATCGTAGCACTAGCTCATGCGTACTACCCCCCGGCAAAACGAACAATGACACCGAACCAGCGACCTCTTAGTATTATGTACTATCTCCTATCACAAAGAGTCTCCACCCACTTAACTGCTGATATGATTTTCTTGTGTATGAAGAAACCTGTACCCAATTAATGATTCTCATTCCTCTTTCCACAGAAAAATGTATATTTGCCTGTATCATCTGACCTCCTGTACTAACATTAAATCTAACTTATATTTTGATATTTCTTCTGCCATTGTCCTGAGTGAACATAACCTGTACAGACTTCTGACATTCCATGTCCCAATTCTCATGTCAATTTTCCTTTGCTTAGGTCATGAGTAGGTTTTACCTGAAGATGGAGACAGAATCCAGTTTCCAAAGCGCTGTGTTTTGAAAAATAAACAGGACGATTTTTAGACAGAGACAAGAAGATAGTACAACAGCTGTTGCTAGGGACCAGCTTTTTGAATGTTTTGTTTCCCAGCGATGAGAAACCATGCAATAATGGAAGAGATGTTTTCTGTGTAGTCTGTGCTGTGGCTGTATAAAGACTAGGAGTTGTATGAGTCAGTTAACAGTTGCAGTTGTGAGAAATGGCTGCAGCCACATGCTCAGGCTGGTTCAGCGCTGGCACATTTTTCTACCCTGAAGATGGAGGTGATACGTTCCTCCAAAACGTCAGTTCGCACCAGATTTACATGGCGCCACATCCCAGAAGACAGCATTCTTCATAGTCACTGCCATGAAAACCTCAAATATTACAAAGCATATGTTTGTTACATAACTGAACTGCACTCTCAGCAATAAACTGCCTTGTACCATGGGAATGCTGATGCTCTATCATTTTCCCACTTTGCAGTTAATGGTAATTTATATTTTCTACTTATTATGAAAGTAAAATATTTGTTACATGATCTTTTCATCGCCTTTGAAGTACACATAAAACCGGATTGTGGAAAATACTGCACTGAGTCAAAAAAAAAGTCAATTGCCTTTGAATGAAAACATTTTCTAAAGCAAATAAACATTTTAATAATCATACTCTAGATAAAGAGTCCATCATAGTTTAATTTTAAATTTACATTGATGGTAATATATTCTTTTACAATGTGCTTTAGTATGAAGAATTTAACAGTAAAAGAACCTGAAAGATCTTTCCAAATAGACTGCAAGAATAACTTGAGTGTGTGCATATGTGTACACACATATACATATGGTATCAGAAATATGTTAAAAAATATTCTGAAGGCAGTATTAAGCATATTATTGCATTAGGTTCACAATAGTGCATGTAACAATTACCATTCAATAACAGTATATTACAAACAAAGTTCATAAATTCTGAATATAATACAACACATTCCCACAGTAAAACTACAGAAAGAACATTAAAATAGAGATAAATGCTGATTATATAAAACCATACATAACATATGGATTTCATGGTAACGCAGAAGAAAAGGATATAGGATTGTTTTCACTAACTTCTTTTTCAAATAGTTACGATTGTAGGAGCCTTTAATTTAAATTCACTGTAAGTACAAAACATAAAAGACAAACAAAGGATCACTTTCACATAACACACAGAGTTTACACTACTTGCATACTGTTCCCACAAATGGTGATGCAAATAACAATAATTTTAAGAAGACTCCAAAACTTCAGTTTTGGCTAACTAATATTAACTCCATACAGCTAAATCTTTTTTTTTTTGTGGGTTATTTAATGGTGCTTCCTGTATTGAGACTACACATTGCTGGATAGTAGGATGACTGATGAATTGAGGGGTATCTGGAAGGAAGTGATCATGGCCTAAGTGAAATACCATCCCAAGGCCACACCATAGTTCAAGCAGTTAGTCGTGACGGCCCGGGTTCAATCCTGGGTCTGGTCAAGTGGGATTTGTGGTGGACAAAGTGGCTCTGGGGCAGGTTTTCTTCAAGTACTTCAGTTTCCCCTGCCAATCTTCATTCCACCAATTGCTCCACAATCAACCTCACCTATCATCTGGGGCTGGTATAATAGGCCAGAAGTGGCCGCAGTACGAGGGACTTAGTCCCACCTCACTAGCAATAAAAAAAAAAAAAAGTACCATCCCAGCATTTTCCCCAGTGGACTGAGGAAAACCACAAAGAAACTCAGTCAAATTAGCTAGTAACTCAGCCAAGAATGTTACCAAGCACCTCCAAAATACAAATCAATGGTGTTAACTTTAGAAAAATCTGTTCGGTCAGAGACCTTTTGAGAAGCTAATGGCCACTCAGTTAGTCAGAAAGAATTTATACTTTTTATTCAAAGGTGCAACATAATGTTCACAGGGATCTGGGACAAATGAGTGAAGTGGTTTTCACTTGTACAGACTGGAATAAAGAATTATTAATTCTCCTACTTTGCCACAATAGAAAGGTTACAATATGTACAGGCAACATGAAATGCTAGAATATGGACAAGGCAAAAATGATACAGGTATCTGAACTAAAGGAAGATGGTCATATGTAAATTAATATGATTTTGTTGGTTCCACAAAAATGCATCTAACTACGAAAGCTGGTGAACCCAGAAGTGGCAAATTACACAGGTTTCACTGTACACTGCTGCTTGATGTGAAGTCCCAATTGTTCTGCATTTAATTTCTGTTACAGAGATTTCACTAAACGATTGTTACTGCACCATTTCTATTATTTCAGCAACTTCCAAACCCACAGTCAAATTTTTAACAATACTGTCACAATACTCAATCACTGCATTATGTTTTTCAACATATCCAATGATGTGACATAGCCCAGCATCAAGTTGAAGAGATCAGAAGAAAAACTATCACAAGACAGATCATTTAGCATGACATGGGTTGGAAGGTTCTGAAAATGTCTGCAGAATAATATCCCTTTAACAATTAAGTCATCGGTATATGGAAATTATTGAAACATTTACATCTGAAATGGTGGACAGAATAAACCCAGAAGCATTTAAAATTTGGCAGGAGAGAAATTAGATATTATTCCAAAAGATTTTGAATGACTGTAATGACACACTATAATATTCAGAGAAGATATTTTCACACATTCAGTTTCATCGGAGTACATGTCTGATGTCATTACAGTTTCCTAAAATATGATAAAATGTACTTTTTCAAGATAAATCGTATTTCTTTATTACCAAAAATGGTATTGACACTGCTGTTCAACAAAAATATTATCCCCCCAAAGGTAATTTAATCAAACAACATACATTCAATCTTGGCTGCTTCAAGGGTGCCATTCTGCAACAGATGTCATAAGTAAACAGAAAAATGAAGACAATACACATATTAAAGACATGACTCAAATTTGACGCCTCCTACAAAACTTATGAAAAGTATATTGTTCACATTATACAAATTTTTGTTGTTTTGCTTTTAAGAAAAGATGAATCTTAATACTGAATATTTCGCTACTGAGTCACCTATAGCAAGTACAATCTGACATTTCTGCAAGTTGTAACAGACCCAAAAACGTCATTCATAACCGCTTACATTAATTGTGTCAGTTATCAATAAATAAAGAACATCTGATAGAGCTATAGCATGACTGTATACAAAAATATACTCAAGTAATAAACTGAGAAACTTACTGGGGGCTGTATTTGTAGCATTTTGGTTTATTTTCCTTAGAGGTATACTACAAAATCCGTTACCTTAATACAAAAATTCAGTTTTGTAAAATGTTTTGTTAAACATGGTAAAATATACCCAGGCATTATTTCTGAATTGTTAAGTTTCAATAAATCCAGTCCTTGCAGTAGAATCATAATGAGATCAATGTCACAGCCAGGTTTTTTGTTCTCTTAATTCTAATAAGGCAATCACATATAATGACAAGAAGTTCAACATGAAACATATAGGGGAGCCATAAGTAAGGCATCACATGAAGATACTGTATCTCAAATACTTTCACAGATACATTCCTCAAACTTCAGTCTCTCTAACTTCACATAGAAAATCATTAGCTTCATTAAAGCGATTTCATTTATATTCAGAAGTAACTGATTCTTGATATCTTACATAGTATTTCTATAAGGCAGTACAGTGCTACAGTGCTATTCCTCTATTACGTATTCAATGAGATAATTCATCCTCCTCAGAGGCTTTCAGAAATTGTTAGGCATGAGTTAATACAGAATTGTTGGGAGTAAAAGATAATATTTTTCATAAATATCATTCCTTCTTCTGATGCTTCCAACAATGTTTCACAATGTCCGTAAATTGTATACAAATTAATACCAAACTATTTACATATACATCACTTTTTAACTAGTATGCATTACATAACAATACTCACATGAAAAATTATATCTTGGTCAGTGGTCTTACTTAAACACCAATAATAGTTTGTCATTTTTCTTAAGGGAGAGGAGGTAATTATGTAGTACCAGGGCAAGCACACAGACGAAGAAATTTAATTTAATAACGTAAATGAAATAGACACTTTTTTACTTCTAGACATTATTACACACATGTAGTTCTTACTTCACATAAGTAAGTATTTATGACAGTACATTTATGAAAACAATTTATGAAAGTACCATAAATGAGCTAACCATGGAAAAAGCTGGCCCACAGACCACAACATAATTGGCATACATGTTACATCAACTTGCACCTTAAAACTGTGGATTTAATTATGGACCCCATATATTCAAAATATCAAAGTGTCAGGTAAGAACATTTACAAAAATCCTGGAAAATTAATTGTCAGAAATATCCTAATATACTTAAAACTACAGTATTCAAAATGTGCTTGCTACCA